TGAATACAAAGTTCCGATCTAGTCTATCTGATTGCGATAGCTTCGGTTATATGTAGAAGAAGAAGTAGGCGAACTATGCGTATGTTAGCGGCAATGCCATGTCCTATAACCTTTGGGTGTGGCCGAATGGGGTAAAGTTAAAATTTAAACACTACTAACCACCAATCAGCGAATGACCTTGAACGCGCCAATCACATGAAGGAGACATTTTATGTGTATGGAATACCTATATTTATAAAAAAATTGCATATAAACTGTAGAAAAGTGTTACAGAGGATACCTTCCTCCCACATGTGATAAAAATAGCTCTCAGTTTTAGGTTGGAGTATCAACAGAGTATAATTCCATTGTGGGTAAAATTTATTTTGATAAAGTCTCATAGTGTAATACAGTAATATTTACTGAGCAATAGATTGTGCTCGAGACGTCATCAGTAAATATTACTGTATGGCACTATGAGACTTTATCAACATAAATTTTGCACACAATGGAATTATACTCGACCACAGTGCACAAGTTCTATTCTTATTTCAACATAGCAATTTAACCACACCCTATGCATGTAATTACTTAGGTCTTCCATAACCCTAATCTTCTCTGAACCTAACCATAACGTCAAAATATCCCTAAACTAACTGTAATGTAAATCGGACCAACCCTAATGTCGCCTTTATTAGCTTAACCTAACCCTAACTCATCCTTGGCTTAAAGCGTAACTTAATCTTTTTCAAACCTAAGCTGAAACCTGCCAGATATCCCATTTAATAGCATGACAATTCGATGAGCATATTTTACTGATGATGGCAACATTATTTACCAGGTTTCACAAACTTGCTCAGTGGGAGTTTCAAGGTCATTGGTGTGGTGCTTAAAGTTTAACTTGGCCTCAAATCGAACATTTTATGCATTTGATTCCCCCTCACTTTCTGAACCAAGTCGGTAAATATTCTCAAATGCATAGACAAACTGTCTCGATCCTACTTCCTGCATAACTTGAACTACAGAAACAGTTAAAAAATTGTATAAACTTCTAATGACTAATCACCATCATCGTCTGGCATTTCACAATATTTTGTATTTACATTCAGAAAAGCACGTTTTTCACACAAATATTATTTATTTTGTCACCCTATACTATAGCTACTAATCTGTTATTCTACGTAAAAATGTATCCACCGCATAACTGGCTGTAATTTTAAGAATAAGTATCATATTTTATAACTGTAATAACCTGGAGAGAATTTACTGGAGAGAATATTCTTTGTTCAGACCAATTTTTAATGCATAATATCATTACAACTGGACAAAGTAACACAAGGTATTTCTTTTTTCAATAGGAACCTAATATTCTATGCAGTCACACAAAAGCTGAGTCTTAGAAAAGTTTCATTTAAATACTTAACGGTGAAGTGCATCAGTGGCTTAGCAGTAGAATGCTCGTCGACCACGTATTTGGTCCCGGATTCAATTCCCGGCTGACTCACTGCTTTACCTCTCAAAGCCAGTTATAAGACTGGTGAAGAGGGAAGGTTGGACATGAGGCTAGCAACCCAATCTCGTAAAAACAAATACCACTGCTACCGAAACTTCACAGCTCTAGCTTGAAGTCCTATGTTCCACTGGGAACGTAAAGGAATAAAAAAACTTAACGTTGAGGTTATACAATGTATGTACCCCTGATGAATGTGAGTATTTGTAAATTTCACAGTTTACAACGAAATGAATATTCCACAGAATTAGCGTATATGCAGGTGTTTTAAGTTTTTATTAATTACGTAGCATTTATATTCATCTAATTATTCTTCCCTTCCGTTGCGTTCCAAGTGGAGTACAGGGTTTCGGGCATTGAGCTCTATAGTTCCAGTAGCGGTAGTGTTTTTTGAGGGTAAAAGTGCTAGTCTCATACTCAACCTTTCCTTTTTATCTAGGCTTAATACTTGCTAGGAGAGGTTTGGCGAGTGCGTCGACTGGGAATCAAACCAGGGTCACGTGCGCTACTGGCGAGCATTCTACCACTGAACCAACTGACGTTATCCTTCACGGAAAAACGAATATCGATACGAAGTCCCATCATCACACATCTCGCTACATTGTATACCAAACTGACATTATCGATAACTTCAAAGTTGACTATCGCCTTAAATTCAACCTTCTTCAAACCAAACAAGTTCGTCTTTTCAATGGAGCCGGTGAGTCTTACGAAGAAGCGTCTACAGTATATTTCCTTCGATTGTGTCTGTAACTCATCTCAAAATCAATAATAACTATATGTCTACATGATAGATGAGTATGAGCATCTGTGAAAACCAAAGGCATTTTCAGAGATGTCTAGCATTTCGATTAATTCATTGCAAATCTCCAAAAGTAATGGTTTAATTAAAAGTTTATGTGAAGAGTGTCGTTCAGCCAACAAGTCTGTTATATTAAAAAGTCAGGAAAAATGTAGGTTCAATTACTGTTATGCAGCATAAACTCGAAGACTTGCAAGCGAGAACCAACAAACTGGCTGAAGAGGCAGGCAGCGAAAACAGGACTGCAGGTGAACACATAGAAGACGGAGATGATGAAAATAACCAATCAACAGCAACAACAACCAGCACCAATCACCATCATCCGGAGAGATTTAATAGAGGTTGCCTTCTTCACTTATCTAGGAAGCATCGTTTCAACTACAGGCCAGCGGAATGGACGAAGATGTCGAAGTCAGAATCGGAAAGGCAAGATATGCACGCCTTCATCAACCTGAAACCAGTTTGGAAATCTTCCGCACTCAACCAGCATAAGGAACAAGATTCTCATTTTCAACACCAATGTGAAGTCGGTCAGTTCTTCTATACGGGTCAGAAACTTGGCCAGAGTGTCATGAAAAGGATTTCCAACAGGTTGCAGACTTTCATCAACAGCTGCCAACTTCGCTCCATACTGAAGATCAAATGGCTAGTCAGAAAGAATAAGCAACAAGAAACTATGGGAACAAACCAACCAAGAGCCGATCGCTCAACAAATATGTAGGAGAAAGTGGAGATGGATCGGGCATACATTGAGGAGGCCACCGAATGACATCGCACGCCAGGCCCCTCGAGTGGAATCCAAATGGGAAGCGACGAGTGGGTCGTCAGTGCTAGGGTGACATGGAGGAGATCGTGTGAGGAAGAGATGAGAGAGTTTGGTCAATCTTGGACCCAGCTGAAGAGGACAGCAGAAAACAGAACAAAGTGGAGATGTGTTGTTGAAGCCCTATGTTCCACTCGGAATGCAAGGGAATAATAATAAACTTGAAAATTCGTAAGGACTCTTACGAAAAATAGATATGATAATGGAAGTTAGGATTATAAGATGCTTAAGAGGAAATTTAAGACCTTTATCAGATTGATATATAAAGAAAAAACAACAAAAATCTTATACAGGATTATTAATAAGACTGAAATTTCAGCTGCATATTCATGCTTTCAAGATAGGAATTCTGTTTATTAAACTCCATGCATTGATTATGTAGGTTGAAGCAATCAGTGGTTAAGTGTGTTCGCCAACCATTTGGGAGGTCCACGTTCGACGGTCAGCTGATACACTCTTTAAACCTCATCTAGCCTCTAATAAACGCAGAAAAGAGAGTTTCGGTGTGAGGCCAGCAAAGAAACACCACCGTTACTGAAACTTCAAAGCTGGAAGCCCTATATCCCCCTTGTAATGCAAGGACCGGAAAAAATTGAATCTGTAATTTAAAGCAGTTGACTTAAGTTAGTCAGCTGATCAAAGTTTAGGAATTTAACTGAATCCAGAATGATAAACTCCGTCAAGACAAGTAGTTTAGAAAGAAAATTCAGACATTATTATATGAGCATTAACACACTATTGTAGAATATCCTGAGATTGAGTAACAGTCTTAGAAAAGCAATACAGTTGAGTGAAAACAGAGTTTAACAGGACTGTACTACCAAGTGTTCCATATGAAACTGCACTTTTTCTCTCGTTATAAACAAAAAATTCCGGTTTGGTTAAATTTTGTAGTGTCAGTGACAAGAGTTCAAAACAAGTGTAATTAGTTTTGAAAAGAACAATAATCGATATTATTTGTTTTTGGGTTAATTTGCATTTCCTATCGATTGATTATTTTGGACCCAGCATTTGTGTTTCAGTTGACATGCTGGCTCCCAGTACGGATGCTTCGACCATGTCTGAGGGGTAAAGCGAAGTTATTTCGGTTGACGATGACTAGCAGCAGAATCCTTGATGTGCACTTAGTTGTATTCGGGGCTCACCAGATGGATGTATCAGCATTACTCTAGTGAGTGATGGTGGTGAATAGGTTGGTGATCCTGGATTCTACTGCTAGTCAATATCAACCGAAATGACAGTCAACATTCATATGAATTCCCTGCTTGAAGAAGTGATCTACGATAATCACGACTGGCATTGTGTAAATTTATGTGAACGCTAATGTATTTCTTTCTCATAAAACAATCTGACAAACACAAAATGACTTAAATATTGGTAGTTGGATCCTGTATGCCACTTGGTTGCGGAGTGGATATGTACTTCCTGAAAGGCTATCAACAATTCAGCTTTTCTTGAAGGTTCAATTATTTGTAACTATTATATTACAATAGTGAACTATAAGGTCAATATATTGATAATCAATATTAGTTACTTTAACATCCATTTTCAGTTTCACTTTAAAATCGAATCTGAAACTAACATACTTTACATTTGTCCTTTGAAGCCTAAGTGAATATGTGAACCTATCAAAATCAAGTTGCCAATATAAACGACCTTAACTCGTTTAAAATCATACAAGATTAACCATGTGACCAATTTAATTTTCTTAAATCAGAAGTATTCTCTAAAACTCTTTTACTAACTGATAACAATAACACAACTAATAATAACTAACTAACTAACTAACTAACTTATATATGTTGGTACCGAAATTTGTTGAGAAAAATGAAATACAAAACAATCGTCAACGTAAACCGAAACAACATAAAAACGAAAATATTTTTATGTTATTTGAATCACCTCATGAAGATATACCATCAGCGGAGGATAAGCAACCTGAGAGACGAAGTATGAGAAAGTTTGTACCAAAATATCTACAACAACAACAACGGCGTGGATTTTATGCTAAAAATCAAAGTGATCATCGGAAACGGAGGATACGCTTTAAATGCGCTGAAGACATTCAAGACAATATCGATGATGATGATGATGACGATTATAATGATAATGCGGAAGGAGACGGTGAAGGCGGCGATGATGACGATGATGATGGTTATGACGACAATGTTGAAGATACTGGTCGAATTAATTCCAGTCCTACTAAACAAATATATGCCAATGATGCATGGAATCAATCGAATAAGAAGCCTCTTTCTGAATCACATATTCGTGATGAAATTAAAAATATTTTAACATATAGAAACACAGCTGAAAGTTGTCTGTTTTATTTAAGATTTGGTTCAAGCCGATTAATAGGACCGTTTATATTTCATCCACAATCAAGTGAGTTTGTAAAATGGATTATAGTTATGTCTAAGACAGTAATATTATTTCATTCCTCTAACTTTTGTAATGTTCATTATAATAAAGGGTGTTTTGTATTTCCCAATGAATGAAAAACAAAACGATATTGTTGTTTTTACTGACGTTTCGCTATTTAATGCTAATAGCTTTATCAAAGTATTATTAAACCAGAATTTACAAAATCTCAGCTTATGTATAACAACTTAATCATCGTTCCTCAGTGTGGGGTCATTTTTCGTTGTCAAGTTGGTCAATTGGTAAAGATAACAAAACCAAGTGTAGATTGTTGGATTTGATCAGTGTTTAAAATTATAAAGGCAGTGTGTGTTTACATAGTGAACTTGCTTATCACATTCGTGTTGATTTTGTCACTTCATGGGGGAGGGAGGTGTTGTAACCAGGTCAGATTCTGTTTTAGTCCATCATTCCTATTCAGGCAATTTGGATTCCACTTGATATGAAGTGCTTCTGATATTAGACGTTCTTTGTGATTTCTGAAATTTTTCTGGATTATTTCAATATTGTCAAAATCAATTTTGTGACCTGATTCTATAGCATGTAGACCTATGGCTGATGATTTTTCAAGCTTTTCTAGTTCAACTGGATTTCTCGGTGGTCGAACAGATGCTCTACGATGTTCATTTCTTCTGATTTTGATTTCTCTCTGAGATGTTTGTCCGATGTATATCGCATCACATTCCAAGCAAGCATTTTATTTTATAGACACAATTAGATAGAGAATCTTTAGGGATTTGGTCTTTTATATGGACAAGGTTGTTTCGTAGTGTGTCTGATGTTTTGAAGAAAACTCTAATGTCGAGCTTATTGAGTACTCTTCTGATATCGTCTGACGTCTCTAATGGTCTATATGGAATGACAGCTGTTGAGGTCCATGTTTTCGGAATACGTTTTCGACCATATTTAATGTCAGTGTTGATTTTGTTGATGAAGTCCCTTGGGTAATTGTTTTGCTTGAGAGTTTCAGTAATGTTTGATATTTCTTCTCTTTTTCTTTCTCATCCGTTATCAAAGAGTGTGCTCGTCTAAGAAGACTTGAAACAACTGAAATCTTTGCGCTGATGGGGTGTGATGATCTGAAGTTTAAATATTTATTGGAGTGGGTTTTCTTCCAGAATATAGATATACTAAAATGTCCGTTTTCCCTCCTCTTAACTAGGCAGTCTAGAAATGGTAGTTCACCGACGTCTGATTCTGCTTCCGAAGTAAACTGGATTCTGGGAGATAGATTGTTCATTTTCTCCAAGAATGAACTGTGTAGATCTCGTTTTAGCACTACAAAAGTATCATCAACGTATCTTAACCATAGTTTAGGAGTGAGTATGCTTGAAAAGATGTTATCTTCGAATCTCTTAATGAAAAGATCAGCGACTATTGGGGAAACTGGTGAACCCATAGCAACACCATTTGTCTGTCTGTATAAATTCCCTTTAAATGTAAAATAATTACTTTCTAGACAGAATTTCAAGCTCTTAATTATTTCACTGGTGTCCAGTGGACATCTTTGTGATAGTGTTGTATCTGATTCTAGTAGACTGGAAATGATATCAAGACTTTCGGTAATAGGGATACTAGTATATAATGAGTTAATATCATAGCTTACCATAATGTCTTCTTTATCAATTTCTCGGTGTTCTATTTGTAATGTTCAGTAAAAGGAAATGTTGAGTACATTGAGGCAAACTATTAGAGTAGATAACTGAAAGTCAGTTTCCCATTGATAAAAATTCATATGAGTAGGAACAGTGTAAATTTCGGTATAAGGTAATTCATAAATAGACAGGCGTACGTTAGACTGACAAAAAGACAGTGGAAGATCTGGAGTTCACAGACGATTTATGTCTAGTGTCACATAAAATCAAAGATCTGAGGGCGAAAACCGAAAAGTTGGCAGCAGAAGCAGCGAAGACAGCACTCCAAGCAAACTTAGAGAAGATAAAGGTTGTGACCGTGCTAGCAAACAACAAAATGCCCCCATCCACTTATTCAGACAGAGTCATTTAAAGTATGGACAGTGAACACCAATGAGGATGACAAAGTTAGGATCATAAAAGCAATGCGGACCTTCATTATTCTGAAATTAGTGTGGAAGTCTGTTGCAATCATAAAAAAAACAAGATTCGGATTTTCAACGCTAATGTCAAGTTAGTAAGTGCTTCTGTGTGATTCAGAGACTTGGAGTGCGCGTTACCGAAGGCATTTCCAATAGGCTACTGCAAACTTCCACCAACAGCTTCCCCCTTCGCTCCACACTGAAGATCAGATGGCTAGCTGGCCAGAAAGGATAAGCAACAAGAAACTCTGACAACGAAACAACCAAGAACCTATTGCCCAAAACACATGTCGAAGGAAATGGAGTGACATCACGCGCTAGATAGGCTGTCGAATGGAACCCCGATAAGAAATGACGATCTGGGCGTTTGGCCTAGAGTGAGATGGAGCAGATGATGTGAAAAGGGAGTGAAAGATTATGGACAATCATGAAGCCAGCTAAAAAAGACTTGCAGAGTAGATAGTGGAAATTATATGTGCTGCCGAAGCCCTATATTCCATTCAAAATGAAATGAAGATTTGTTGAATTCATTCAACGCTGTGTGCTCTTATATTAATGTTAAGATAAAGAGAAAAAACATGCTGTCTAAACCATCCTAATTCACTTTTGGTTGAAAAAAGATTCCAATATTAAGTTAGATATCATATTCAATGTGGCCCTGAGAAGACAAACATCAAACTAACCATAAAATATTTGAAAACTGATATCATGCAGTATGTTACATAATTTTGACGACATTTAAGTTCATCCATAAAAATGTAAACTGAATATGTTGTTAGCATGAAGCATATCGAAAAGTTATTTCATGCTAACCATTGATTGAAACCTTTACCACTACGAAAAATCTAACTGATTATGTTACGTCATCATTTAGTGCATCACCTACTTAAGTAAATTGGTGGACTTCATTAAATAAACAGCGTCACTTTCGAAAAAATTTATTGAATAAGGGTAATTGTCTCAATAATGGTTCCTGCTGAGTTACATTTTAATAAAAAAAATAACAGATATAATCTTAAAGAAAGTCAGTTAATTTGAAAAACAGGTTGGAAATTACACCTAATAACTCATGGTTCAAACAATCACCTATCAACGGAAAACACTTTTACTTCTCTGATTTTATAAATGAATCCCCTAATAGTGGTTTCCAGATTAGGTATATATTCAAAGATGTTTCGAGTAGAACTTCGAAAGAAGCAACACATCCTTTTTCATGAATTCTTTTAGTATTCATTTGGGTAGATAGTGAACATATCGTTTAAAATGACTGCCTAAGGTATAAAGATGAATTTAAACAAAAGTCTGGATAATGGCTACATTTAAACAACCAACATTCAAGATATTTGTCAATTCAAAAGAACTGTCGTCAAGATTTGACCGAAGAGTTCTAAAATATTTGGGCGCCGAGTGAGAAGTAGACATTTGTAAAAAATTATATTTGTAATATCTCGGCGAACGAAACGTTGGAATTACTCATTTCAATATCGCTGAGATATTACAAATATAATTTTTTACAAATGTATTTGTCAATGCTCTGTTTAGAACGCTACAACATTTGAATGCCTACTAGGCTTTTGTTTTACTTGATTACCTGAATGTATGACTAAAGATCGAAAACTCGGCAGAACAGCTAATATGATAATGAGAGAACAACAGAATGTTTACTTTTTATTTATTTGTTTTATTACAGCTTGATTCCACACAGTATTTTTGGTACAGGTATGAAATTTTCAGCATGTGATATCGGTAGCCCAAATTTAGCAGGGTGACCATTGATATCAGGTGTGCGTCGGCGGGTGATCGAACCTCGGACAATGTGCATGGTCGGCGAGAGTCCTAACGGCTGTGCCACCGACGCACGACCTGGCATACTGTAGTCCTGAATATCCAAAATGAAACTAGAATATCACCAGTGTTCATCTTCTGTAGCTCTGTTGGAATAAAACTGTTAAGATGAACGGAAATCCCTATCTCATTGTAGATTAGCTCAGTTTTCTGTTGAAACTTCTGTAGAAACAATTTTTATGAAATAAACACACAAAAAACCTCTTTAACCCTCACCAATAGTAATAAAGTGACACCATTATTGTGCATTTGTCAAGTGATCCACAACGAAAAACTCAGCGAAGCGTTTAGAGTAAACACAGGAGTCAGACAAGGGTGCTTATTATCACCAATCATATTCCTAATTGTGGTGGACTGGATTATGCGTCAGACAGTGGAAAACGAGAAGACAGGGATATCCTGGACCGACGTGAAGAACCTAGAAGACCTGGATTTCGCGTGTGGATGATTTATGTTTGATGTCACACAAAATCGAAGACTTACAAGCGAAAACCGACAAACTGGTCAAAGAAGCAGCTGGAGAAGACAGGACTCCAGGTGAACATAGACAAGACGGAGGTTATGAAAATAACCAACCAAAAACAACAACAGCAGCAACATCCAGCGACAATCACCATCAACAGGAGGGATTTGAAAGAGGTGACTTCATTCACTTATCTAGGGAGCATTGTCTCAACTACAGGAGGAACGGACGAGGATGTCAAATCGAGAATCGGGAGGGCGAGAAACACATTCATCAACCTGAAACCAATTTGGAAATCCTCGTCACTCAGCAACACTCAACAACAAAATTCGGATTTTCAATACAAACGTCAAGTCAGTTCTTCTATACGGATCAGAAACTTGGCGGGTCACAAAGAATATTTCCAACAGCCTGTTGCAGACCTTTATCAACAACAGCTGTCTTCGTTCTATACTGAAGATCAGATGGCCGGCCGGAAAGAATCACCAACAAGAAACTATGGAAACAAACAAAACAAGAACCAATCGCTCAACAAATATGCAGGAGAAAGTGGAGATGGATTGGACACTCGCTGAGGAGGCCGCTGGGTGACATCGCGCG